TAGAATAGAATAGAATGTAATATAATATAATGTGATACAATATAATGTAAAATAAATTACATTTACTCAACCATTACCTATCACTGACTTTAAATAAACCAACAACCAGCTTCCCCGCCTGCCAAATCTGCGTTACCACCCCCAGTACCATTAATCCCAGCTGGATCGAGCGAGCGCGCGCCGTTCCCAGGAGCCCCCCAGCACTGACCTTGCCGGTGCCCAGCAGCAGCGGGCTCAGGTCGAAGCCGTCCAGGGCCACGCGGGGCGGGGCGGCGCCGGCCAGCGCGGCCAGCGTGGGCAGGATGTCCAGCGTGCTGGCCAGCTCGTGCGTCACCCCTGCGCGGCACGGCGGCACCCTGCTGGCACGCTTCGGCACGCTTTGGCATGCTTTGGCATGCTTTGGCACGCTTTGGCATGCTTTGGCACGCTTTGGCATGCTTTGGCACGCTTTGGCACGCTTTGGCACGCTTTGGCCCGGGTTTGGTCCCGGTTTGATCCCAGTTTGGTCCCCGATTTGTCCCAGGTTTGTTCCTGGTCTGTCCCAGGTTTGGTCCTGGTTTGTCACGGGTTTGTTCCCGGTCTGTCCCGGGTTTGTCCTGGTTTCTTCCCAGGTTTGTCCCACTTTGTCCTGGGTTTGTCCAGGTTTGTTCCTGATTTGTCTTGGGTTTGTCCCCAGTTTTTCCCGGTTTGTCCCGGGTTTGGTCCCAGTTTGTCCTGCTTTGTCCCGGGTCTGTCCTGGGTCTGTCCCGGTCTGTCCCGCTTTGTCCCAGGTCTGTCCTGGTTTGTCGCAGTTTTGTTCCCGGGTTTGTCCTGCTTTATCCCAGTTTGTCCCAGTCTGTCCCGCTCTGTCCTCCTTTGTCCCAGTCCGTCCCACTTTGTCCTGGGTCTGTCCCGCTCTGTCCCGGTCCGTCCCAGTCTGTCCCGCTTTGTCCCGGTCTGTCCCGGTTTGTCGCAGGTTTGTTCCCAGGTTTGTCCCACTTTATCCCAGTTTGTCCCGCTCTGTCCCCCTTTGTCCTGGGTCCGTTCTGGTCTGTCCCTCTTTGTCCCGGGTTTGTCCTGCTCTGTCCCGGGTCTGTCCCGCTCTGTCCCGCTTTGTCCCGCTCTGTCCCTCTTTGTCCCGCTCTGTCCCCCTTTGTCCCAGTCTGTCCCAGTTTGTCCCAGTCTGTCCCGGGTCCATCCCGGTCTGTCCCGCTCTGTCCCAGTCTGTCCCGCTCTGCCCCCCTTTGTCCTGCTCTGTCTCTCTGTCCCGGGTCCGTCCCGGTCTGTCCCGCTCTGGCCCCCTTTGTCCCGTCTGTCCCCCTCTGTCCCGGGTCTGTCCTGGGTCTGTCCCGCTCTGTCCCCCTTTGTCCCGGGTCCGTCCCAGTCTGTCCCGCTCTGTCCCGGGTCTGTCCTGGGTCTGTCCCGCTCTGTCCCCCTTTGTCCCATCTGTCCCGCTCTGTCCCGGGTCTGTCCCGGGTCCATCCTGCTCTGTCCCCCTTTGTCCCGGGTCTGTCCCAGTCTGTCCCGTCTGTCCCAGTCTGTCCCGCTCTGTCCCAGTCTGTCCCGTCTGTCCCAGTCTGTCCCGCTCTGCCCCCCTTTGTCCCATCTGTCCCGCTCTGTCCCCCTTTGTCCCGGGTCTGTCCCGGTCCGTCCCGGCTCACCTGGCGCGATCCTGCCGGGCCAGTACGCCAGGGCGGGCTCCCTCATGCCCCCCTCGTAGGTGGTGCCCTTGCCACAGCGGAGGTGGCCGGCGCTGCCGCCGCGCGCCATGCGCAGCGTGGACGGGCTGGGGACAAGGACAGCTGTCACCCGGGCCAGGCCGGTGACACCGGGACCTGCCAGCCCCGGGGCGGCCGGGCTGTGACACACCCGAGAGGGACACGCACAGCGGGGCCACCCACCGAGGGACATGGGGGCTTTGGGGTGTCACACGCCTGGCACAAACCCTGGGGACATCTGGGGGTGTCACACACCTGACCCAACCCCTGGGTGACATCTGGGAGTGTTACACACCTGGCACAAACCCTGGGGACATCTGGGGGTGTCACATTGGTGACCCAACCCCTGGGTGACATCTGGGGGTGTCACACGCCTGGCACAAACCCTGGGGACATTTGGGGGTGTCACACTCCTGACCCAACCCCTGGGTGACATTTGGGGGTGTCACACACCTGCCTGAACCCCTGGGTGACATTTGGGGGGGTATCACACACCTGACCCAACCCCTGGGTGACATCTGGGGGTGTCACATTGGTGACCCAAACCCTGGGGGACATTTGGGGGTGTCCCACACCTGCCTGAACCCCTGGGTGACATTTGGGGGGGTATCACACACCTGACCCAACCCCTGGGTGACATCTGGGGGTGTCACACGCCTGGCACAAACATTTGGGGGACATTTGGGGGTGTCACATGCCTGGCACAACCCCTGGGTGACATCTGGGGGTGCCACATTCCTGACCCAACCCCTGGGTGACATCTGGGTGGTGTCACACACCTGCCCCAACCCCTGGGTGACATTTGGGGGTGCCACACACCTGCCCCAACCCCTGGGGGACATTTGGGGGTGTCACATTGGAGACCCAAGCCCTGGGTGACATTTGGGGGTGCCACATTCCTGACCCAAAGCCTGGGGGACATTTGGGGGGTGTCACACACCTGGCACAACCCCTGGGGACATCTGGGGGTGTCACACACCTGCCCCAACCCCTGGGTGACATTTGGGGGGTGTCACACGCCTGGCACAACCCTGGGGACATCTGGGGGTGTCACA